ATGATGCATTTTTGCATAGAGAAACAGAAAAATCTGTCATGACTTTTCCGACAACCTAATAATAATTCTCTAAGGTTAGACACTTTACTATTTTTTAAAGAGAGATTATTGCTATAGGGTGGGTGCACCTGGCAGAAGCGAACAAGTGTGTGCACTTGCCAGAGAGACAGAAAGAGAGAGATAGACAGAAAGTGAGAAATCATCCCCCCCAGGGGATGGCCACACTGCAATCCTTTCCCCTCCATTCTCCTCGGGATCTTGGGCACACACGCACATGCACCTGGCATCAGTTTGAAGTCACTGGGTCCAGGACTCAAACCACAGTTGGCCATGTGAATCCAGCAACATAACCATTAAACCATCTGCTGGTCCTAGATACCTTAATATTAATGTATTGGTAAACTTTTTCAAAAAATTTTTAGACTTACTAATATGGGGAATTCCTCACGTTGTTTTGTTTTCAAAATGGAGCATGTATGGGAACCAGCAGTTAGTGTAATGGCTATATCGCTGGACTCCCCCGTAGTTGACAGCAGTTCACGTCCCAGACCCGGTAGCTTAAAACTCCCAGTGGGTGCATGTGCGTGCGTGCCCAAGATCCCGAGAGGAGAATAGAGGAGAAGGGATTGAGGCGTGACCATCCCCCCTGGGGGGTGATTTCTTGCTTTCTGTCTCTATGTCTCTCTCTGTCTGTCTGGCGAGCGCACACACCCTATAGCGAAAACCTTTCAAAAAAAAAAAAAAAAGGAGCATGTAGGATAAAATTGCTTCAAATGATCATAGAATGGGTGTTAGAAGGGGCAGTGGAACTGGTCATTTGAACCTGAGAATATTCGAATTTATAGAAAACAGTACATAAAATATGTTGGAAGTTTATTCCCATATATATGATGTACATGAAAGTAGTGTGCAAAATAAAACTGAGAAAGGACTCCATCCCTCACCTGTACACGACATTTTACTTTCCTTTTTAGCTCCGTTCTCTCCATCTCTTTCATCTCCTCCCTCACATTATTCTGACCACCTTGCCTCGATGCTCACCAAAGGAGACAAAACTCACAGCCACCCTGTCATCCTGTCCACTCCAGTCTACATGCCACCCGCATCTGCACTTAACTTCCACACTTTTTCCCTGGAATAATGAATGCATTTTTCTAAAAACTGTTCCTTAATATGCCATTTGGATCCCATCCTACCTCCTTCCCAAGAACTTTGTTTTCCCTTCTTTTCTATTCTCAGCATATTTCCTGCCTTCCCTCTTCAGCACCAACCCTCCGTGCTCTAGAGACACCTAGCTTTTTTTTTTTCTGGAGAGGTTTTTGCTATAAGGCGCGTGCGCTCACCAGAGAGACAGAGAGACAGAGAGATAGAAAGCAAGAAATCACCCGGGTATTGGCCATGTCGCAATCCCGGCTCCTCCATTCTCCTCTCAGGATCTTGGGCAAGCACGCACACACACCCGGCGTGAGTTTAAGCCAACGGGTCCGGGACTCGAACTGCGGTCGACTAGGTGGGAGTCCAGCAACATAGCCATTAGGCTAACTGCTGGTCCCAAGACGCCTAGCTTTAAGGCAGCCTTGCGTTCATCCCAACTTCACGCTCCAGTGACCACCTAGTCTTCTGCCTTGCTTCCCAGCCACATGGTACTTCAAGGATTTCCACAGCACTCGCTGTCCCCTTCACTCATTCTTTTTTTCTTTCTTTCTTTTTTTATTTAAATGTATTTATTTACATTCATTCACTGTACATCATTACAGCATACAAAATGAGATTTCCCATTCAGAATACACTGCATATTGGCTCAATCAAGCACATCAACATACGTGTTATCGTCAACAAATAATTTTCCAATTCTTGTTTCCTGTATATTTTGCTTTTTATTTTCCCATCCTTGATTCCCTGTCTCTCACCCTCTGCCGTGTCCCACCCTCCTCCCACACTGTCTCTGGTATCCATGGTTGCTTCCTATGCCTTTTCCCCCCATTTTATTGATTTGCTAATGAACTTAATTAATCTAAATATTTCCAGTAGCAAGTGCAGCTGACACATACATATCTATGAACACAAGTCTGACTTTAGGCATAAACCTCAGTGAGTAGAATGAACATACTATAAAGTAGTACCTAGCTGGTCTATGTAGCTTACTGCAGTCATCAAATATGCATTTCTTTCCTGAAATTTTTTAAAATTAATTTATGTACATTCATCCCCTAATCATCATCACAGCATACAAAAAGTGATTTCCCATCCAGAATATACTGCATAGTGGCTTAATCATGCATGTTATCATCAATCATTTTCCATTTCTAGTTTCACATATATATGTGTGTGTGTGTGTGTGTGTATATATTTATATTTACCCCTATGTCTGACCCTCTGCCCTTCATTTGCCCTTTAATGCATTCCACTTGGGTTCTGCCTAGGCAGAATCTGCCCACGTAATGTGGATGAGTTCAAGGGGCAGTTTGAAGTCTTTATCTCCTCTGTCTCTCAACGGCAGGATCTTCCTCTTGAGACATTTTTATCTCATCATCAAAGACCAGCCTCATTTCCTGACGTCCCTTCTGCCTCCGTGGAACTTGCTTTTACTCCCGTTTTCTCAGGCACTTCTACTCTACTCTGCTTTTATTCACCTCGCTTTAAAACAAAACTGTCTGCTGAGGCCTCTTTCTTTTTAATCTTTAACGTAGACTTCCTTTGAACCTTGTGCTTCAAATGCTGTCATTTTTTGATGTCTGTACTTACGTATCTCACATACTTTGAAATCACATCCTAAATTAAACTTTATTCTGCATCCTTTTTGTTCACAAATTCATTTCCCTTATAGTCGCTAGGGTGTTCTCCTAAAATTCTAGATTTTGTTGTTTTTCATTAGGCTTAAAATCTTTGGGCAATTTCATGTTTGACCGAGAATAAAATCCCACTTATTCAGCGTTTGCATTAGACCCCACATGATCCAGCTCCACCTCCTTCTCAAACTCATTGTGTACCATTTGTCCTAATATGTGACTAAGCTAGACTGCCTCATTTATGTTGACTTAAAAGATTTTCTTTAGTCTCTCTACATTACAGCCTTTGCTCAGGCCGTTCTGTTCTTCTGGAATGTTCTTCACTGGGTCATTTCTCTGGAATCACAATAATGACATCTCTTAGGGGAAGGTTTCCTCATTGGTTCAGTTCAAATTAGAACCTCTTCCCATGATATTGTCTCCTAGAGCATAATATTATATTCCTTCCTAGAACTAATCCTAATGTATTATCCCATGCTGAGAGATGATATGGGAATAAAAGCACACACCCTTTGCTAAAGTGCTAGTTTGAATCCTGACTCATTATCATCATTAGCTGTGTAATTAGGGGGAAGTTATTTAACTTCTCTATGCCTAAGTTTTCTTGTGGATAAAGTGAGGATAATGATAATATTTACCTTGTAGGGCATTTGCAAGCAGGAAAAGATTAATATTTGTACAGTCCATAGAAAATGTAGCACTTAGTAACATCATGTACATATTTGCTTACTTGGTAGTATATGTGAGTGAGACGTGTGTGTATGTGGGAGTAACTTACATAATTTTCCTACTAAAAGCACAAAACTCTTAAGTACCGTGACTCTTGGCATGCACCAGGTGTCTAGCAACTATCTGCTTAATTCATTAATCAATCGTGCAGTGGTCCTTATAAGTTGGCACAACGATCTTCAGAGAAAAAAAAGCATGATATATTGTACTTACTAGCATAAGAAATCTTTGTGGCCTACCCATTAAAATCATTTAATTTTAGGTTTTGATCTGAGAATATCATTAATATCTGGCCCATCTCTTGCATCTTAGCAAGCATGTTTATTAGTAGTAGTAGTATTACTCCCGTTTTGCAGATGTGCCAATCTATGGCCCAGGAGCCCAAGGAATTTACACAAATTACACAGTTAATGTATGATGGGGTAATTCCATTCAGCTTAGATCCGGCACCTTACAGCAGTTCTTCCAGTGTTCTTATCTTTATAGAAACACAGTATTGCTGAGATTACTTTGGTGATCATTCCTAAATTTTTAATTTTAGGCAGCTGTCACTCTCCTCCCTAGGCCCCTTGTTGTTCCTTACTGACAGCATTAGCAACCTGGAATTACCTGCTTGCCCTTTGCCTCATCCTCATGACCCCCCCCCCAAGTATTATTGATAGAACCCCTAGAGTGAGATTTCTAAAAATTCACCCGTTGTTCTTGACTCTTTCACATTGCTTTCCCATAGAAAGATGCTGCCATCAGATTTCAGAATTACAAAACTTCTGTTCTTGTCATGCAGTGGACTGTTGTTAGAACCAGTCTTTCCTGATGAAAGGCAGTTAAAATGCTTTACTTCCTGTGTCATAGGCAGACGACTCACATCCTTTTTGGAATATATTTTGTATTGTATTGTTTGGGGATTTTTTTATGTGTAGTCACATCAATGTGAGAACTAGAAAGGAACTCACATCACTAAAATTTCAAATTTATAAACAGGGAAGCCACGTTGGAAGGTAAGTAAGAGGCTCACGGTTGAGTTGGAGGCCTAGGTGAAAGTAGCCATGGGGTCCTTAGCGCACTTTCTTCATCAGTCTACTTACTTTTCCTTTGAAAGAGAAACCAAGGGGACCAGCAGTTGGAGTAATGGCTATGTTTCTAGACACCCATGTCATTGACCGCAGCTCAAGTCCCGCACCCAGTGGCTTAAACTCACGCCTGGAGCCATGTGCGTGCATGCCCAAGATCCTGAGAGGAGATTGGAGGAGAAGGGATTGTGGCGTGGCCATCCACCCTGGGGGATGATTTCTGTCTTTCTGTCTCTGTCTTTCTGGCAAGCACATGCACCCTATAACAAAAACTTCTCAAAAAAGAAAAGAAAAAAAAAAGAAAGAAAGAGAAAACAAGGCAGTAGAGTTGAGAAGTCTGAAACACATATTCAATAACAACTGTGTGGGCAATTTTAGTATTAATTAATTAATTTTTTTTTTTCTCTTGTAGTTTAACAGCAATGCTCAGGATGTAAGCTGTTTTCAGCACCTCGTCCAAGCCAATGTAAGGAATAAGAAAGTGTTGAAAGATGCAGTGAATAATATCACAGCAAAAGGAATCACAGATTATAAGAAGGGTTTTAGTTTTGCTTTTGAACAACTGCTTAATGTAAGTATTGATACTATTCCTTTTTATTTTATTATGATATTGTAGCACCTAAACGTTAATATCCTAATCATTACTATTCTCTAGCATAAGATAATAGCGCTGTTCTTAATTTATTTAGAAAGCAAATGTATCCACGTAATAGAAATCTTTGAACTATTTTCAAATCAAAACTTTAAAAAGTATACAAAATGTAGATATTTTTCTTTTTCTCTTATATCTTATCTTTCTATACCCAAGTCCTGAGAAGACTGCTTCAAGGAAAAACCATGTTGAAAGCAAAGGATTACTTATTTTTTCCATATTCTGCCTTTTCTGTGTACCCTAGCATCTGTCTTTCCTGGGAAAAGATATTATAATTTGATTTACACCAATATATAAATGATTAGCAAGATCTAGCATGCTAACACACAGTGATATTTGTATTTAATAGTAAATAATATCTCCAATATTAAAAAAAAGATCTTCTCAGGATCAGCAGTTAGTGTAATGGCTATATCGCTGAACTCCCATGTAGTCAACCGTGGTTCGAGTCCTGGACCTGGTGGCTTAAACTCACGCCAGGCGCATGTGCATGTGTGCCCAAGATCCCAAGTGGAGAATGGAGGAGAAGGGATTGCAACATGGCCGTCTACCCTGGGGGGTGATTTCTCGCTTTCTGTCTCTGTCTTTCTGGCAAGTGCACATGCCCTATAGCAAAAACGTCTTTAAAAAAAAAGAGATAAGAACCACATTTGAATGTGACAAATTGTATTAGTCAATATTTGGGGGGGGGGATTCTATTTTTTTTATTTTTTCCTTTTCTTTTTTAGAGAGATTTTTGCTATAGGGCACATGCACTTGACAGAGAGATGGAAAGCGAGAAATCACCCCCCCCCCGGGGGGGGTGGCCATACCACAATCCCTTTTCCTCCATTCTCCTCTCGGTATTTTGGGCACATGTGCACATGCACCCAGGTGAGGTTTAAGCCTCCAGGTCCAGGACTTGAACCACGACCGTATACGTGGGAGTTCAACAACATAACTATTATGCCATGTATTGATCCTAATACTTGTGTGTTTAAAACCAAATAAAAATAAGAAACAAAAAGCAAACAAAATAATTGTGTTTTCAGGATGCTTAATTAAGAGCTTTTACTGCCAATGTTCTGATGCCCTAGTTGATGGGATGAAATTTATACAAAACAGGATCTTTTCATCAACCAAGCAAACATTGTTTTCATTCATTTCTACCATAGGAAATGGGGCTAACTTTCTTTGAAAACTAAGGTAGAGTTTGAACCTTCGATTAGCTTAAATACTAAAAGAGAATTAAAGGTTGTTTAAATATTAGTCACTTAAGGCCGTAACTGTACTGTCCAACATGGTAACCACAATTGCATTTGGTTATTGAGTATTCAAATTGTGGCTGGTCTGAACTAGGTTGCAGATATATAATATGCCTCAACTTTCAAAAATGTGAAAGAATAAAATTTATATTATCTCACTAATTTCATGTTGACTTTATTCTGAATTGATATTTTGGATGACTGATTTAAATAAAATATTTTAGAATTAATTTCAGATATTTTTATGTTCCTCAATGTGGTGATTAGTAAATTTAAAATTTGGCTCATATGATAGTTCTTTATTTTTTTAAATAATTATTTATTTAATTTTATTTATTAGTATTATTTTCATTCACCAGAGAGAGACAGACAGAGAGAGAGAAAGCAAGAAAGCAAGCCACCAGGTCTGGGGTTTGAACTAGGGTCAACCATATAAGAGTCTAGTGTCCCAATAACAACATCACCTGCTAACCCCAGGCTCATATGATATTTCTACCAGACAGGATTGAACTAGAGAGTTGACATTTTTAGAGAAATTGAGCATTCATAATTAGTATAATATTTTATTCTCATAACTTAAAACATATTTCATAACAGTAGAAAAGGTAAAATTATAATTTTAGACCTCAAAGAACGCCACCTTTCTTTTTTTTTTTTTTGGAGAGGTTTTTGCTATAGGGAATGTGCGCTCACCAGACAGACAGAGACAGACAGACAGAAAGCAAGAAATCACCCCCCAGGGGGGTGGCCATACCAAAACCCTTCTCCTTCATTCTCCTCTCGAGATCTTGGGCACGCACACACACGCGCCTGGTGTGAGTTTAAGCCACCGGGTCCAGGACTCGAACCATGGTTGGCTACATGGGAGTCCAGTGACATAGCCATTACGCTAACTGCTGGTCCCAAGAAGACCACCTTTCTAAATTGTTTATTTTAGTGACTTTAGTGACAATTCATCTTTCTCTTACATCCACCTCTTTTGGAGACCTTAAATGTTAAGAGAACTTACCTCTGGCATTAAATCTTTCAGGGTTAGAATATTTAAAATGGGACAGGTTGAGGGAGGCTAGGAGGATATTCTATGAGTATCGACATTTACAAAGGTACAAAAGAACATTTTGTCTTAGGGTGGCAGCTAGGAGGTTGTCATTTCAGAAATGGGAAGTAATAAAGAATGAAGGAGGGAAAAGAGGATTGTCTGAAAATATTTATTAAAGTGTATGCATATTTTTAACCAATACAATTTCTTTTTTCTCCTATATAATGATACAGGCATAATATTGACATCACCACTTATTAATAGAAAGCCCATTTATTAATCAACCACTAAGAGATTATCAAGTGTCAGGTACTTTTCTAGGTGGGAAAGAACAATAAAGCCAAAACTTCCTGCCCTTAGGGAACTTATATTCCATCGAGGGATGGAGACAAGGAACAAACAAATAACATACATATAAAAGAATGTACAGTGCAATGAAGACAAATATAGTACAGGAGGGAGATTGCAGTTTAAAATAGTTGTCAGGAAAGACCTCACCAATAAGGTGTCATTTGATCAAAGGACCTGAAGGAAGTGAGAGAGAACTGTGGCTATCTAGGCGGTGATGGGGAGGTGCTGTGCAGGCCTTGGCCTGGCCTGGTCCACAAACCAGTTCTTCCAGTACACTCAGGGAGCAGATATTCCACTTGTTATTTGCAACTTGTTCAAGTTCTTTCCATATTGCTTTACAGGATCTATCTTTTATTACGTATGATATGCATATCAATTTGTTTTGTTTTGTTTTGTTTTAATAGTATAATGTTTCCAGAGCCAATTGCAATAAGATTATTATGCTGTTCACTGATGGAGGAGAAGAGAGAGCACAGGAGATATTTGCCAAGTACAATAAAGACAAAAAAGTGAGTGCAATTTTAAAAATATTTTAATAATGATCTATGTGATCTTTCATGATACAGTGAGAAATGAGAATAGGGGAGAATTTTTGGTTAAAAATACTAGCATGCCAATTATAAAGTCATGTGGGTTAGATATTAGCTGAATTAGAGAATTTTTTTTCCCTTTTTTTTTTTTTTTTTAGAGGTTTTTGCCTTAGGGCACCAGTGCTTGTGGTGTTGGTAGTGGTGGTGCAAGGATGTGAGTATGGGGGAAGAGAAGACAGACAGACATGGTGAGAAGGAAAGTGAGAAATCACCCCCCAGTCCCCGCGGGATGGCCACAATCCCTTCGCCTCCATTCTCCTCCCAGGGTAATAGCATCCCAGTTGGCCATCTGGGAGTCCAGCGATGTAACCACTATGGCATCTGCTGGTCCCTAGAGAACTGTTAAATACAATTCTTATGTGAGATTTACAAATAACTTGTGACTGATAAATTAATAAATTAACCTATTGCTATTATTTGATTATTTTTTCTTTCGTTTTTGCTATAGGGCTTATGCACTTGCCAGAGACAGAGAGAAAGGAAAAGTGAGAAATCACCCCCCCAGGGAAGATGGCCGTGCCACAATCTCTTCTCCATCTGGATTTTCAGCACACACATATGCCCAGTGTAACCATCAAGTCCCTGGGTCTGGGTTCAAAAGGAAAAGATGGCCATGTGGGATCCAGTGCCTTAACCTCCATGCCACCTGCAGCGTTTGTTTGATTCTTATACATAGAGTCTAAATAAGAAAATGGTATAAGAACAGAAAGATAAGGAAAGCATAGAAAAGTGAAAACAATAAGCTTTTTCTGAGATAAATATATCAACTATTAAAGATTATAATAATACACATATTTCCTAAAGACTGAAAAATATCTCTAGATAGTACTTTATAGATTTTCAAAGATGATGATTGCACTAGCAAGAATTGCATCCATAGGTGAAAACTGTTAAAAGATTTAAAACATTCATTTACATTTTAGAAGAAGTAGAATATTTCAACAAATAATGAGAATTGTGAAAAATCAGAGTTTTGTAATGGGAATGTATTTGCTTAGTGTTTATTTCACTGCAGGCATTGCAGTGGGACCTAACAATTTGGAAAGTTCATCCATGTAACTGGACCTACCAATATGGTGGAAAATATCATCTTCCATAAAAACAGTAATTCTTTTTTCTAGCAGTCCTGATATCAGCTTATTCCAACTTTGTGACTAACTTTCACAGTTTATGGGAGGACAATGATTCTCAGTCTGGATTTTTAACATGCTAAGGGGGAAAAAAAAAGGTAATGAGGAATTATACGCTATTTCTTCTATTTCAAAAATTCCAGTGGAATTTACTGTTGAATACATTTATCCCCAAGAAGACACTCACTTTGCTTTTAATTCACATTTTCCCCATTTAGAGAGCTGTGGCTCAGCACTAGCTCTAATGTATTGTTTTGTATGTATTCGAAGAATCCTAAAGAGAAAATATTAATATAACCAAATAGTTTAGCAGACAATGTATTTTAATAATGGAGTATAGTTTTGATAAAGACTTTTATAACACATTGAAACTTTTTAGCCTATATGTATGAAGAGACTTCAAAAGGAAAGTGGAATTAAAGTATGAATTTAGGACCAGCAGGCCACATGGAGGTCAAAGTGACTGTATCCCATAAGGCCATTCTGCAGTTCAAGCCCTGGACCTGGTGGTTTGAAAATCGTATCTGGTGTGTGTGTGTGTGTGTGTGTGTGTGTGTACATGCCCAAAATCTCATAAGAAGAATGGAAGAGAAGGGCTTATGACACAAGCCTGGTGGGGAGTGATTTCTAACCTTCCCTTTCTCCCTGTCTCTGTCTCTGTCTGGTGAACACATGTGCCCTATAGCAATAAGTATAATTTTTAAAAAGTCTTAAATAGAAATAGTATAGGTTTATTTTGATGACAATATTTTTTAGAATTATTTTATTTAACTTTATTTATTTACTTATTTTAATTTGACCAGAGGGACAGAACAAATGAGAGAGAGAGAGAGAAAGCAAGCCACCAGGTCTGGAACTCGAATGGTCAGCCATGTGAGAGTTCAGTGCCCTTAACCACCACCCCACCTGCCAGACCCTTATGTAGATAGTTTTTTTTTTTTTAATTTTTTTTTCTTTTCTTGGAGAGGTTTTTGCTATAGGGCGCGTGCGCTTGCCAGACAGACAGAGAGAGATATAGAGACAGAAAGCGAGAAATCACCCCCCAGGGGGGATGGTCATGCCGCAATCCCTTCTCCTCCATTCTCCTCTCGAGATCTTGGGCACGCACACACACACGCCCGGCCTGAATTTTAAGCCACCGGATCCGGGCTGCGAACCGTGGCCAACTATGTGGGAGTCCAGCGACATAACCAGTATGCTAACTGCTGGTTCCCTGTAGATAGTTTTTTAAACCTTTGAATAATTCTTTTTCATAATGTGCATTTCCATGGACTTTTTGAAGATCCCCTCATATTTGAAATGGATCAAAGAATTGTAGACATCCACTAAAGTTATATGTATATCAGAACTTATGCCTAAGATAAATCTTTATTTTTAAAGTACACATTTTTAAAACAAATTTAAGTAAAATAATAAAAGTGTGTAAAAATAGAAATAGCTTCCCTCTAAACTATAAATGTGTTTTCTTTTCTGTTTAAAACTCTGTATGCAAAAAATAAATAAGGAAGGAAGAAAATAAGGGAAAGAAGAAGAGGGGGAAAAGGGATAGGAAAGGAGAGAAGAAAGAAAGTGGAGAGAGAAAGAGAAAGAAAGTTCTGTATGCGTCCATGATTAATACAATTGCCTATCTTAAGGGCATGTAATTAGTTTTTTTGTTTTTTTTTTAATGCAAGAGGTTTTATATTATAAGGGAAGTAATTGTATCCTACTTTCTCTTTCTATAAATTTGCCAACCGATCGACTCAATTAAGAATTTCTGATTTATCTGCATTTCCCTTACAATAAGGGATGTTGAGCTTTTTTTATATGCTTTTTAGTTATTCATATGTCATCTTCAGAGAGTGTTTTTTTTCAACTCATTCTCCCATCTTTTAATAGGATTAATCAGCTTTTTTAGAAACAGCTGCTTGAGTTCCTTGTGAATTCTGGTTATCAGTCCCTTATCTGACACATAGTTTTCAAAAATAATTCAACAATGAGATACCACCTAACCCCAGTCAGAATGACTAAGATTAAACAAACAAACAAAAAAGATAAGTACTGGTGGGGTGTGGTGAAAGCAGACCTCTCTTACACTGCTGGTGGGAATGTAAGTTGGTCCAGCCACTGTGGAGAACAATTTGGAGATTCCTCAAAAATGTACAAATAGAACTGCCATATGATCCAGCAATCCCACTCCTTGGTATCCACCCAAAGCACAGAAGGATACTTAATCAGAAAAATGCTTGCACATCGATGTTTATTGTGGCACTATTCACAATTGCTAAGTCATGGGAACAACCCAAATGTCCACGAACAGATCAATGGATAGAAAAATTGTGGCACATATACTCTATGGAATACTATTCAGTCATTAAAACAAACAAACAAACAAACAAACAAAAAAACCCTAGCTTTTGACAGGAAGTGGGTGAATATGGAAGACTTACTACTGAGTGAAGCAAGCCAAGCTATGAAGGAGAGGCATTGTATGCCCCCACTTAATATATACTGAGTGTCCACACTCTGTGACTGAAACTAATTGACTAAAGGATATAGAAACACAATATATAGATGTAAATACCAGATATAGTGTGTGTGAAATAGGAGGGTCTGAGGAAGATTTAGAAGAAAAATAGGGAGGCAAAGCATTAATGGGACAAAGAAATGTGGTATTATCTGTTGAAGATAATTTATAGTTTTATCAACTGTACTAGGGAGAAATGTTCACCTGTTGAAATATCCATTTTGTAAGCCAAATAATGTGGCTGAATGTATAAAAGAAAATGAAATAAAAAAAGAAAGAATTTCTGATTTAAAGCTTTTATGCACATATTTTAACTGTTCAGTATAAATATTATTATCTTTTTATTTTATTAACATTCAATCACTGTATATTGGTCCCATCAAAGATATTACCATACACATTATTATCAACAGTTAATTTCCCTTTTTGTTGCTTCTTAAATGTTTTGCTTCTTTCTTTTCCCCTCAGTTTCTTCCCTCTCATTCTCCTCCATTTCCCACTCTCCTCATTCTCTGGTATTCATAGTTGTTCTCCCTGTCTTAAATCTTCCAATCTTTCAATTCCTGCCATAGAGTACATACAATTCAGTATATATTGAGTGGAGATATATAGTGCCTCTCTTTCATAGTCTGGTTTGTTTCACTTAGCAGTATATCTTCCATATTCAACCACTTTCTATCAAATGCCAGGGGCTCATTGTTTTTTATAGTTGAATAGTATTCTATCGTGTATATGTGCCCCACACTTGCTATCCATTCATCTGTTCTAGGACATTTGGGTTGATTTTGTGTCTTAGCAATTGTGAATAATGCTGCAATAAACATCTATATGCAAGTGTTTTTCTGACTGAATGTATTCCTATCCTTTGGGTAGATACCAAAGGGTGGAACTGCTAAATGATATGGTAGTTCTATTTGTAGGTCTTTGAGGAACCTCAATATTGTTCTCCTCAGTGGCTGTACTAATTTACATTTCCACCAACAGCTTAGGGAGAGTTCTTTTCTCCATGGACTCACCAGCACTTATCATCCTTTATCTTTTTAATCTTAGCTATTCTGGCTGGGATTAGGTGATATCTCATTTTGATTTTTATCTGCATCTCCCTTATGATAAGTGATGTTGAACATTTTTTCATATACTTTTTAGCTGTTCATATGTCTTCCTTAGAGAATTGTCTGTTCAGCTCATTTTCCCACCTTTTAATTGAGTTGATTAATTTTTTTTTTGGGTAAGCTGCATGAGTTCCGTGCATATTCTGGTTATCAGTTCCTTATCTGATGCAT